TATATTTCTTTCAGCTAGGCGTGAGGGCCTAGACTTTCGGAATAGAGCACAAGATCAGATGAAATCGAAGTATCATTAAAACAGCTAATTGACCTAGGACTAGGGACAGAAAATGGCTAGAAAATTCTGGTTAAGGTTTCACAAAAGTACAGCGGTAAATATTTTAATATGAGACGAGATTTTATCAAACTCGTAAACATATATTTGCAACGACTTATTTCTCAAGGCATTGTACTCTATTTAAATGAACCGAACTTTCACAATCAACCCTTTCTGGCCTTCTGTCTTATACACCTATGTTCACTGCTTAGTCTAGATTTGCATGGCCATTCATAACTGTAGTAGTAATTATTTTATGTAACAAATTCTTATGTTGGAAATGAAGTCTCGATCATAAAATGATTGGGACGTGACTGGGCTTACTGTGTAGCAGATCACAAGCGCAACGCGGAGTACCGCTTGCGCTGATGGGCTTCAGCCCTAACAATAACAGCTGGGTAGATCGTTGAAAATGTACAATTACATTTCTACATACTCCGTTTAGCCTCTCATTGTCTAACGTGTTCTGAAAAAATGGCAAATATAAAATCTGCTATGCGCTGTTTCGATACAATTGAAACATATATTATTCTCGACGTCTGCGCGGAGGATCCTGCTCAAACTTCGTACGACATTGTCAAAAGACGATAGTTTTTGTTAACATCCTCACTATTATAAATGGAAACCAGTGTAGCATCTTCAACCGTTGCGGTTTGAATAAGAACAAGATGGAATAGCATTGGCCGATTAGATAACGAAGCTATCCTAACACTTTTTCATACAATATCGAAAAATTCGGATTAGTGACACGTTTGTATGTCCTGTTCACGCTGTTGCTACTATTATTATTTCGTTTAGACAAGTCGGCTTTCGTAATGGTTTAAGCAATTTCTTACTAGAAATTATATGCATGTTGGCAAAACATGTGTTTATAGTGAAGTCCTTGTGAAATCCACTAGGAATGGACTTTGTAGTGACTATTTAGTGATAAAATTTGCCAAATGTTAGGAACCTGATAGGAAAGTGAGCGACACAACAGAACTTCATGGAAAGAGAAAATATACAGGAATGAATTCTGCCTACGGTACGTAGTCAGTCAATCAGTCAGTGGTCAAACTAACTTTCAGACAATGCGAGTCATTGTAAATTTTCGCCGTCTTTCTTGTCCGTACTAACCACTCACGACCATGGTCAGCTACTTATAAGCGAGATCATATTTGTGGGCCCACATACAGAGTTCTTTCAAATGACGATTTTTAGGCTTGTTAGAATTTGCGCCAGGGGCTCGCCAAACCTACGTACTAGTGAATAACTTAGCGTTCAAAAAGAATGGAATAGTCTTTATACATGCCTCAATAGAGCACAACGTTCTGACTCCTATTAACTTTCATTAGAGAGCTTTTAGCTGGAAAAAAACTGAGGCTAAGATTGCTGTACGTTTACCGCTAAGTTACATTGTTACCACAAAATAATAATTGCTATTTCCATTCTGACTGACCCAGTCTGCTAAAAAACAAGTCTATCTATGCTATTGCGTTCTGCGATGTTTATGTCCGCTCAAAACTATCATAACGTCGTGTAGACAGTACGCATCAGCATAAGGAGTTCCGAGACATATAGGAAAAGAGCAGAGTTCGCTTCGGCACCATAAGCTGGCAAGTTCCCAAATCCCGCTTTTTGTTTGAGCTGAGATAAAATAGACAGAAATTGTAGGTTTTTTTTTTAAATTTTTTATCTTTGAACAATAACTCTCAAGTCCTGACCCGGAACGGGCGACCATTAAATCATGAGCGTCGTCTGTCTCGCTTTCGCTGTGTCGTGTTCATGACAAACGCAGAGATAGGTCGCATTCATTTGAGAGTGACATCTGCTGCCAGCAAAGGCCAACTATACTAATCACACCCATAGATGTTGAAACATTTACAATTCGCCTGATCGAATAGCCTTAAACAGGAATGGCAGCGAATGAGGTACACTTTTTTTTATAAGAAGTAGGCAAAGCGTTATCTGCTGCCGCTGCTGCCCCCTCGTTCTTTTTCTGATGTCTCTGTTTTAGCTTCCCGTATCGTCGTTCGCCACCAGCCTGCCAACGGGTCAATTAGATTTTCATTTTTGCATTGTGTTCTCACTAACACTTGATAGGATGAGATTGATGTGTTAGATCTAATCGGCGCTATGATTATGCCAACAGTAAACGGCTATCTCTGTCTTGAGTGGCTGTCTTGCTTGAGGCCATGTTGCCTTTAGCCATCCCCGCTTTGATAGTTTGTCGGCAGATTTAGTCCCTGAAACCGCTAACACACACACATTCACAACCACATTTGCAGCTTCTTCACTGGCTTTTTCCATTCTGCACCATAGCAGAGGACGAGTTGATGCGGAACGAGACAGGGATGATTCCTCGCGGGGAAAATTTCGACGGCGACGACAACGGAGAGCATCGCCATCGTTACCGCCGCCGCCGCCGCCAATTCGTCATCACTCGGTGTTCTTCGATTATCAAGATACACATGTTAATGACAATCAAAGTTAAACTGTTTATTGCTTCCTAGAACAGTTCGGTCGTAACCTATATGTGATTGAAGCCCATACGCACAACGCGGTGATCAATGTGATGAAAATAACTTGAAGGACCGACAGTGGCTACTAGTATCACAATGCTCAACGGAAGCTTAGTGTTTGTATTGACTGCTGTGATAGAACAACAATGTTCGAAGTAGTTGATTTCGAGTTTCTTCCGATTCTTGGCGATTGTAATTAGTGCGAATGACTTCCGTGATGATCTACGTGCAGCTGTGTAATAGGATGACATCAGTCGATACATAAAAAAAGCGTTACAGAGCCAGCGAAGTTTTTTTTCCAGAACAGTTGCGTACAGATCACCACACGTCCATATGACAGTACCTCAAACTATCTATGAACATGTTTTAGGATACATTTTGACGATTTTGTGGATTTATTCGGTTGTGATGTATTATTAGTCAGGATGAGACAAGAACTGATAATTTGGGCTGAATGTTCCATTGTGTATTGTGTTGAGATGTCTCTGACACGTCACTTGAAATTTGCTTTATGAGATGGCTTCCTTTAAATTGCTTGCAGAATTTTTATCAACCTCAAGCGTTGTAACAGCAGCTCTGGAGACGCGGCTGTGCTTGGACAACCCAGAATGAACGCACACGAATGGTCCGGCCGATCAGAAGTGGCTCATTGACGGTAGCCTCCAACCGCTCTTCACCTTGTTGACGAAAAATGAGACGATCCGCTGATCGCTACTTCAATTCCGAAAGCGCGATCATTTTTCTTTAGAAAGGTCTTCGAGATACCAGAAAATCATCGCGGGCTGGACTGCAAACGAAGGATGGCAGAATCACGAACTAGCACAGCTCAGAAGGGCCAGAAAAATGTGCGCGAGCCACTTAGCGGTATCAATGCTAACAGAAAAAATTACATAGAAATTATAGTTGCTGAGAGTGCATTATGTATTCTCGTTACGTTTACATAGGTGTGTCTGCCTCCAGCGCCCGGCGACATAACAATAATGTTACTGTGAAAAAATAGAATTGTAGCATAAAACGGGGAACCTTAGAGCCAATTGCTTAGGCTCACATTTGCTATATTTAGATCGTCAAACATACATGTCATCCAGTAGAAACGCTGGTTAGATGCGTAAGATATAATCTTTATTTAATCGACTCTATCCATTCCATGTGAATAGGCTTCATAAACGGACATTCTAGGTCAAGCTCTCTAAATGCCATTATCGTGGAATAGAAAATATCTAGCTAGGATTCGGACATTAGGCAGGCATAACGCTTGCACAATATATATATATATATATATAAATGTTTTATAGAGGAATATGTTGTACAATAGTTCGTAAACTAAATATTCAAAGAATTATGTTTAATACTATTCGCTTGATACCACAACCTTTTAACATGCAGTCCATCAAAGTGATCTTCATGTCAAAATGATCAAAATGTCAGCAGCTTCATTTTCAGCAATTACACGTTCCTATATGCCGGCGATGTGCGACAATTCGAAGTATTAAGTAGAATTCAATTAGCATTATCATTAATAGCTATTGTTAAGTAATTTACATTTGCCGCGAGAAGACATTATAGAAAATTTAAAAACTCCCGCCAGCAACATGCACTATACAATCCATGTTAGTAAACAAAGTTATATAGGCTTAGGTTGAAAAATCTATGCGGTTCATTAGGTGTTGGTTGTAAATGTAGTATTTATATGAATGCACCATCTGTGTACGTCATTGACTGTGCTACGGATGGCCGAAACGGGAACGAGGCTGGTCTCATAAAGTTTTACATAGACTGCGTATTCTAACGTGGGTATCTGCGCAAAACATTTTTACAAGGATCTCACAAGAGGGTATATTTACACTTAGAAACGAAAAAAGCAAAATCGGGAGGTTACATAGAAAGATTTCGTAGAGAAGAACAAGCAGTTCACGGCTTTCGTAGTAGTGCTTCAGAGTCGAAAGCTGTGAGGCATCTCATGCCGAAGGGTGGCTAGAAAAAACAAATGGCTGCCCTAAAAGTGATTCATGAGCATAGCTACTGTTCTTGCGATCACGAACCATTTTATTGCATAACCGTTGTTGATGAGAAATGGATCCTAACAATAGTTCTTCTCCGCTCGGGCATTTAAAATCAGGTAGCTTGTTTACTATTCTCTAGACCTAATTCGTACCTTACGATACTGAGGTTAGCATTTCATCACGTACGAACCTACTGCTATACAACAAACCATAGAAGTTTATTGGTTCAACTTTGTCGATATTATATATAGATATTTCTCTATTGAAAAAATACGTGATGATACAGTAGTACTGACATGGTAGATAGCTGGTCTTTATATAGCAACAGTGAGGGAAATATCTACGATTATGGGTATATGCCAATGCTCGGCCGCATTAACTACGTATGTCTCTTATCTCTGACCCAGTTCCGGCTCAAAACTGCCGTTCCCTTAGACATAATCTAATTCTCAACTGACAATCAACCAGCATTTCTGCCGCATGGCTGAATAATTACCTCCAACTTATCGGAACAGTTCCAAGTCGAATTGCGAGGCCTATTTAACTTGCTGAAACAAACGTTTTCTCAGCTGATGCCCGCTGATGCATGCCTTCGATGCATATCTCGAAATCCTCTGCAGTTCTTGCACTCGACAGTGAACAACCTTTGCTCCGATAAATAAAGGAAACCAGACGTGCGCTGTATTTGGGCAAGCGGTCATATACCTTACTTTGTCTCTGTATCCAGACCGTTAATACTTTAGGAAAGGGAAATGCTGGGAGTATACTACAACGATGAAGGAAGGGGCGCCGGCGCCAGAACTGTTAGGGATTCCAGCGACGGCGCCGAAACGTTCGGAAAATGGCCGATCGGGAAGCGTCATACGAAGGACGCAAGAGCGTTATTACACTGAGACTGCCAAGAGCGCAATTGCAATGGCTGTTAGCGAAAGCGTAGCGGCCATTGCGTTCCGGACGGAAAACAAAAAACAGCTGCTACTCATGGCGCGATTAAAGCGCACGAATCCTTCTCAGCAGCCGATATATTCTCACTGGGTAATCAACGATCTACTTCTTCACTCTATATATACATCTATTAGATAGTGTTTTTGTCAGATTACACTTAATCGCTTAAAACAGTGCATATGTAGATATATACATACTGCCCTGAGGAATTAAATGTAATCTGACAAAAGCACTATCTAACAGATTTTGGTATACTACAGTTATATATGGCTGATTGGAATTGTGACTTGAAGATGAATGCTTTGTTTATCATCTTGCATGAATTAGTGCTTTTCTTGTGCACATGGCAGACAGATGGTTCATCGGTGAAGACATAACGCATTTACCAGTGTCAACACACTGCCATTCCAATCATTATCTCAACTGTAACTCCCTTGAGCAGTAATGAGAGATCAAAGAATAACCTTCCTACAAGTATTTTAAGTTGACCAAATTTTAAATGGTTTTCTGTTCGTAGGAAACACCTCTGTAATATTAAGAGACTGAAGACATCTGTGCCGTCCCGTCTAGTGTCAACTTTACATATAAAAACATCCTTTGTTCGAACGACAAACGAATGGGACTTTTTTACTCGTGTTTTTTTACATTGAAATTGAGATTCGTCAAACCACAATGTAGCAGCGACAGAGAAAAAAAGCAGTAGCGACAAGATGCCAGCAGCAGATGTTTTTCTGAGAGAACTTCCTTTGTTTTACTTCTTTAAATTATCCTTTATCATCCTGAAGAACATTCGTCATCTGGTTCAGCATCCTGCTTATTCATGTCCCATTACAAAAACGGCCCAATGCATACACCCACAAAAATCATCATTCTGGCGGTATTTCTCTGTTTAGTCCATCCTCATTTTCTCAAGAGAATGCCTACATTTTTTTTTTCATTAAAATAATTCCTATTGTGCCAATTTAGTAGGAGTTGGGCGAGCTGTGTGAGGAAGCCCTATAAACAGATGAAACGCTCATGTATAGACGTTCTTTTGAAGCGTCTCGTCTTATAGGTACAGGTCTTGTTTTATACGATTCTTATTGACTTCTGAATATTCATCACATGTCTGCATAAACATATTATGCAGCACGCCAGACAAATGCAGTCGATGGAAGGAGTCATGACAGGAGAACATAAAGCCTATCCCTGCTTGAGCACATCCATCAGACGTTCGTGAAACAAAGATGTCAACTCTCAAATGTCCACGTGGTTCATTTACGTGCAGGTATATTCCTGCAAGTCGAAGTTCTAGCAATCGTACATATCATGGCTTAGCGACTCTGTTTACGGTCTGTGTAAAGGAAGGGCAAATTTTTAAAGCATAAAGGGATTGTTTAATGGTCGAGATTTCGAAACAGTCAGGGAACTTTACACATCCGAAGCGCTGTTGAGGAATAACGAAAAAAACCTGCGTGTCTACACTCTCAGGACTCGTCCTTATTTGTTGCCTCGCTGCCGACCTGCAGTACCGAGATACCCTGCTTAACGAACAGCATGGCTTGCGTGGTGACCGACTGACAACGGTGAATCGAACAGAATGCCTGTGAATAAGACTCAGTGCTCTTAGCCAAACGAAGTTGACTCTTTTAGCGGTCTTTATAGATATTAAACCGGCTTCGCTTCCGACTTGAAAGCGATTGTGCTGACCAAGTTTACTCAACTGGGGCTCCAAACAAAATTGTTAAGAAAATACTTTGGAAAAAACCTAATTACTTTCAATAGCGGTGTTGTGAAGCGAAATTCAGTCGAACAAACGACAGGTTTCATTCAGTTAGATAGCTTAAGGCCGTCGCTCTTCTCCCTGGTCATCCGAAATGTCCGCTCGCAAATACGGTAACGGCATTCAGCATGGAAATGATCTCATACGCGGACATGTTTAGCAAGAATGGCCAACATTTGCAGCAAGCGCCCTCTATCCTGAAGAAGAGAAGCACGGCGCGCAAGCGACGAAATTAAGATGAAGGGCACGACATTTAAAATACAGGAGAAAACTTTCTTTAAAAAAAAGAGCGGTTCTGAAGCTACAATTGAAACTGTACTTTTCGACCCATAAATGTTTGATGTATCTGATAGCAAAAGCCACGCATCAAGAAACGATACTAGTTTTCCAAAATCTTAGCCTATCAGACCTTTATTATTAGTCATGGCTGGAAAATGGCGAAAATTAAACCCACATTCTACTTGACCTCCCTTCTGGATCAACGGATCAATAAGGAATGGAAGCCTTAACAGACATATAATTACTAGAGTTCCCGCGAACGGATTTACTTATTTGGCGTGCGATACAAACTTTTCAAGAAGCAGGCAACACCTGTGTATCAAACTCTGCAATCGTAGGTGATATTAGTACAATTTTGGTCACAGTAGTTATGTCTGATTTTTAAATTGCTTTAAACTCGAATGGCAAGCCGTTTATCAAGTCATATATGTAAGTGCTTTGGTACTATATATTTTGCAGTGAAACAATTACAACAACAAGCTAAATCATCCTCTATATATATATGTATATATATATCACTTTCAGATGCATGCGCGACATCTATGCAGACTCCTACTCAATATGTACATTCAGCGTATAGTCGCCTCATCATGACAGCGTTCCAGTGTCGTTATGGTTGAAGCAATGGCCGTTACTTGAAACGTACACTGGTTAGGCATATACATACACGCATTTCTTCCTCTGTACCTGAGATCATTTATGCTATTTCTGTAAGTCATCCTGTGACGACAATAATATTTCGTTATTGAGCTAAGGAAACCCTCGTTACGACAACGAAACGCGGCTCATTGCTACGAAATATCGAACATAGGGGGCTCTCACTGGAGTTCGTTGATAGTTGTGAAAGGACTGCTATAAGTCATAATTCTGGTGCACATTTATGAATCTGCAAAGAATGATTACAGATTTAGTTTTGTTACTATCGTCATAACGCGATAACCTTGTATGTCAGTAGACATGAATACAGAGCTAAGTATGCTAGTAAGAAATATTCAATGATGGAAGGATGTCTTACGGCGATTTGTTGATCCGTCCCATATCAATGGTGCCTCTCAGTCCAACAGGCATCTAGTTTTTCCAAGAGACATAGGATCTACTTTTTTGAGCTTTTGATACGCTGATCATGCATTACGTGGTTGAAACTGTTTAATCAACTGCTGAAGGGCAGCTGTTCTGTCAAGTTAGTTCGTGGCTTTAAAGCTTTTTAACTGAAAAAGTTAACCAACCTCTTGCTGAGGCTATCGCAGTTTGATCCTAAGCAGTAGTCTGCGCGTCGTAGTCATGATCTTTAAGCAATTTTGTAACTAGGAAAACAAAGCTGTACATCCTTACAAATCCAATAATTTTTCAAAGCAACCTCTTTAGAGCTTCTATCGGTAATATCGCCTATCCGGTTATACTGTCCACTACACCATAGCAAGGAATTTTGCACTGCAGTTTTTGATACTTGACGATCAGGAGTATTTTACATGTGGACCTCAGCTCGTATTCCTACTTTCTTCATTTTGACAGGCTGTATTCTAAATCTAATAGTTCTGTCATCGTTTCCATAGTGCTATTGTAGTGCTGCAATACTTCGGTGAGAAACTGCCCCCCTCCGTTCGTGTTATTATATTCAGCTTTTTTTCAATGCGTATATTTGCCCAGCAGAGGGCGAAAACATGCGGACGCATCTTCATATCTACTTCTCAGTCACCGCGCTCCATTTGAGTCGTTTTCTGCAAGAAAAACCATAATCGCGGTAACAACGGCCGTAGCAAATACATCACGAAAATCTTCGTTCTCGTTGTTAGCTTCATCAATCTGGTCGTCACTTAATACTGTCACTAACTGTGCAGCAAGAAATGTGACCATGAGGAAATCATAGCAACGCGATATCTTTGCTGCTTAAACTGAGGTAACACTTCATCAGCTCACGTTATGATGTATTGAAGAAAAGAATATGAGCACTTCATACGCCACAATGCAGCAAAGTAAGTGACTGATGACTAGTTCAAGCAACGGGGAGTCGTGGCTTGAAACATCATTATTGTTGAGAAATGATGACAACTGCAACTCCGTCATTTTGTAAGTATGCGGGTACAAGATAGTGATATCCGATAATCATCTATGTCACAATCATCATAGTAGCAATGATGATAAATAAAGATTGTCATACGGTTTTTACTGATAATTAAAAAACAGTACCTTAAAAATTAGCAGAATAACGCCATCATTGATGTTAAAGATTGATAAGTATCCGATGCCGTTGTAGACAGTTTCGCGCATACACAGTTCAAACTCAAATTTATTTAATTCACGGTGTCGATTTCATAGTATTATACAGCTTAGGCGGCGACGGTGGCTGTATCCGTTAGGCACCGGTCTGTATATTTAGCCGTTTAGGTCTTCATATAAACTATGAGCTTAACTACTCGATTTCCTCAGCCATAACCGGTCTATCGAAGTAGTCTTTTTGTTTGAAGATGATATCAGTTGGGTTAGGCAAAGCTACTCACAGACAAAGGCCGTTGTTCTCATGTCGCTAAGATATTAACTCGCTAAAATTAAGAACGCGTGGGTAAACCTAGGCTCAATGCCGGGAGAAGATACACCTCATCTCGTGTCAGGAAGCCCTGCCAGCTACTCGAAACAGCAACGCTTACCGGCAGTGGAGCTCTATGTTTAATGGGAATAGCAATCATATGCCATTCCGATAGGCGATAGGGAATAACGTTCAATGCCAGCAAATTATATATTGGCCGAAACGGTAACTTCATCCGTTTGTACCGAAACAGTTCTACAATTATTTAAATATTACTTAATCTCTTAATGTTTTTCACTGGTTTGCTGGTTTGTTTTCTGACAAAAATAGTAGCCAACCCTTTGCGTATCATTCTTAGCGATAATTAGATCGAGCAGTCTAAACGTTTCAGTCTGGGCGCGTACGTTTCGAAACGAGCAGAGCGATCGCGGTTACGTTACCGGCATTGTTGCTATTGTTGTCCAAATCGCTCCTAAGAAGTACTATGGCAACTTCTTTGAACTACTTTGCTTGGTCGACAAAAAAACTACTTGTCAAAATAACAAACAAGTAATAGTAAGAGGAGGTTTTGAAAAGACTTTCAACTTCCATAGGAAAGCGGAATCTTAGCGGCTACACACGTTCTCCTGCACCTCTTCGGGGTTCTCCCTCACAGCCCACTCGACCCCAGCTCTTTCCACAGTTTCCCTCTCCCTCTTTCCCAGGACCCTCCTCTCTTCTTTTTTGATTCCGGGTCTCTCCGCACTTGCTTCCAATGCTGTTCGCAGCAAGCAACGCCGGTAATGAGTGGATGGGCCGACTTAAATCTGAAAAGGCGTGGGAGGTTTCCCTACTCATAGGTAACGTAAAATAGAGCACAACCGTATAGCATATGGATGGGTAAAACAGGAAAAACGAATCAAATGCGATGCGATAATAACATACTTTTACTTAAAACATTACTGTGTAACAGAAGGTAAGTGTGCCTCGGCAATGAAAGGTCCAATTATGCAGAACATTACAATAATGTTTTTTTTGCGACTTGGCGTTATGCTTAAATCGAAGTTTCGAAGAGTGACCACACACATTTGGAGATATCGCGGAAGTATTATTACATGGGTACGATAGAAATGTTTGGTGAACCTATCAGATTCAACAGATCTTGGACTCTTAGATTACT